GCATAAAAGATAGGTTTGGTAGTTTTTAAGGATATTTATTGCACTGTCTGCCAAGCTTACATTATGCAATTTATGGTTTGCTGAATACCTTAAGCCCTATGCATCTGCTAAGGGTCGAAGGTTAGAAAATATTGGCAGGATTTATGAATAACTATGGTAATAGTGTTAAAATTTATTGTATTTGTACTATCTGGAATCTAAATTGTTCTATGTAAATCCTTGAAGTCTGGAAAAGTGCAAACTTGTGCTTTTTAAAGAAAAGAAAGTAAATGTTGTTACTCTGGCATTATGTAGTAAGCATCTTCAAAATCCATACTGCCTTCATGGCTCATGAAGTCACCCAGAAACCCTCCCTCACGTCACAATGTCTCTCAATCAGCCAGTGTAAAAGTCAAGTGTAAAATGGTGAGTAGCAATAGTTATGCAGTATTAATATTTTCAGAACTAAAATGCATTTAATCTTATATTAATGCAGCAGGTATTACAGGATTAAGAAGCCGTATTTCTAACCAAATGTTTGTTTGTGAGAGTCTAAAATTGCGAGACTGTTGTATCCTCATACAAGGACTTGGTTTTGTTTTGGTAAATATCTAGTGGAGTAAACTTGAAAGCAGCGCACATCTTTCCCAAAAAACATTACACATCATAAACTTTCAGTATTTGTTTATCTGCTGCTAAGAAGATAATGCATCAATCAGCAGAGACCAGGCTGAATCCTGAACTGGTTTACAAATCTGTTCCCTTCACAGCCCAGTTTTCACTAATACTCAGAATTGAAAGCTTGTTGCTGGTGGCTCCACGAGTCACTGGGAAAACAGGTCAAATGGGGACTGACAGTAGACATAGGTTAGGGCTGAGCCCAAGGGCACCACATTCAAATAGGTGATCATGTGTCAGTTTTCTGGCTTTTCTTGTTCCTCTTATACAGGTGACTCCAAGCAGAAAGGATGAGAGGAGGTGTTGATGGATGGGGGAGAGGTGCCAGCTGTGAGGCTTTGAGGGGACCCAGCCTGTGGGCAGGAGGGGTCTCTTGTGCCCCTGAAAGAGCCCTCTTGTTTCACAGAGGCATCTGATGACAGCGTCTTCCATCGCGGCTGCCAGCACTCATCTCCCCTTCGCTTGAGAATGTGTGTGAAAATATTTATGACGATGACATCACGTGACCCCTGTCTAGCTGGGAAAGCACAGCTCTCTTTTTATAGAACTAGAATTTGCTTTATGCATAACATAAAAGAATATCATTCCCTCTGTTTATGTATCTATGTTTCACACATATGTGTATATAGCATGTACACATGCGGTACTTTGCAAAAGCCGCAGTCCAATGTACCGTGTGGGAGAATCTCACTTCAGACAGAACACAGGCCCTCCCAGTGCTGCCCGAGGACCCATAGGCTCATCTGCATTATTTAAGTTTTGCTCCGGTTTGTTTAAATTCCATTCAGTCCCCTATTTTACCCATTTTAGTCTTTGCTTTTATTTAACATTTACTTCTTTCTCTGCTACAGCTGTCCAAAGCAACTTATTTGCTCACCAAATGTTACTTAAGTTACCCCATTCACATAGTAGCAAATGCACTACAATGCAATAATCTCTTAGCCAACTGTAATGTAAAGAGTAACCATCCCATAAGTCTCAGTGTTCTGTGTCATTTATATCAGTGTCCTATCCACGGGGTCCTCCAGGCCGTTCAGGTTTTTGCTCCCTCCCAGCTCCCTGCCAGACAGTCCACATTTTTGCTCCCTATCAAGAGCTGGGAAGCGGCAAAACCGTGGACTGTTTGGGGGACCCTGAGGATCAGTTGGAGAAATACTGATTTATATTATAGTGTCCAGTGTCCTGATGAGGTGCCAGTGAGCCACTGTATCATTTCCGCATAACTTAATTTGACTTTGTTTCCCTCGTTTCTGTTTGCCTGTTCTCTTACTCCGTGCTGTCTGCCCTGCTGACGTTTCCCCTCACTGGGAATAATAGCCAGGAACTCCATTTTCTCTCCCAGCTGCTCCCCACCAAAAACCATACATTCTCTCCTCATCTGTGTTCTTTGTGGATGAATTCGTCCGTTTTCTCACTGGCGGTGAACTGCGGATGTGGGACACTTGGCGCTGTGACACTTTTGGCAGCCTCTTCCACATTGTATAAAAGTTTTGTCCTTTTTATTCTCTGTGGTAATGTTCTCCCTCTTCCTCATCATTCACACTGAATAGTCTTAATAATTCAATGTATTTCCATATCATGGGATTATCCCATGGGGTGGGTGGAGGTGCACTGGTTAGCAGCGTTGCCTCACCCTTCTGGTACCTGGCTTCCAGTCTTCCAGGATTCCATGTGTGTCTGCATGTTCTCCTCATGTCGTCGTGGGGATTCCACTGGTTTCCCCCCACAGTCCAAAAACATACTGAGGCCGATTAGAGTTACCAAATTTGCAGTAGGTGTGAGTGGATGGTGTGTAAATGTGCCCTATGATGGGTTGGTGCCCCATCCTGGGTTGTTCCCTGTCTTGTGCCCTTAAGCTCCAGACCCCCTGTGACCCTGAAGAGGACAAGCGGTTTCAGAAAATGGATGGATGGAAGGAACTACTCTGCCCGGCCAAAAAAAAAGATCACCATTTGAATTTAAATCAGCAAGTACTTAAGAGCCAATGACTGGATCATTATAACAGCTCAGCAACGTTATGCAGCAATAAAGTGAAGTCAGCTGATTTTTCTTTCCTATCGGCATGGGCATATTCCAGCATGAAAATGCCAAGACTCATCGGGCTCGAGTCGTCAGAGAATGGTTCAGGGGGCACGGGGAATCATATTCACACATAATTTAACCTTAACCCCATTGAAAGTCTTTGAGATGTGCTGAGGGAGACTTTATTGAGTGGTTCAACTCACCTATCATCAGTACAAGATCTTGACGAGAAATGAATGCAAAACTGGATGGAAAAAAAATGTTGAGACGCTGCCTAAGCATGTAGAAACAATGGCATGAGGTACGTGCAGCATAATCAAAGCTAAAGGCTAAAGGCCCTACGAAATATGAAAGGGTGCGACTTTTTTTTGGCCAGGAAGAGTATCATAGGTGGGCAGTGGTGACTTAATGATTAGATAGATAGAGAGAGAGAGAGACTTTATTGATCCCACACTGGGGAAATTTACTTGTTGCTACAGCCAGTAAATCTCAGACCAAAAAAAATACTAACAAATACAATAAATAATAAAATTACTGCACACAATTACACATCTTGCACAGACCCAAAACACATATACAAACATATATACAAACACATATACAAACATATATACATACATACAGATTGCACTGAGTGATGTAAATATGGTTGTATGCCTATGCAGCGGATATTGCACAATATACAGAATAGTGACATAGTTTAGGTGACTGATTAGGGAAGCGTACTTCTAACTGAAAGATTGCTGGTTTGAATCCCTGACCAGTGAGGTACCCTGAGCCAGATGCTGCTCTCTGGCTGCTGAATTATGCTCCTGCTATGTCATAATGTCACACATTGGTCAACTGCAGAGGACTCATTTTGCTGTTGTGCACTGTGTGCCCTGGTGTGTCGACAATGACAGCTAATTACGTTCCTTCGTTTCACTTCACTCATGTACACTATCAGAAAACATTACCAAATTGTACCTGTGCTAGTCACTGGGGCTGTACCCTCTAGGGTAAGTGTACCTTTTAATGTACAGAAATAGACTATAAGGAACATTGTTGTACCATTGGGGGTACATTAATGTTGTTTGTACCTCGGGAATGTTCATCGGAGTCTATTTCTGTACCTTAAATTAGGCTAAAAGGTACATTTACCTGCAGCTAGGGCACAATTGGCAGACCCTTGCGAGTACAGTGCCAGTGACAATCAAAGGTACAAAGCGGTACTCTTTTTCTGGCAGTGTACCTTTACCATATATTAATGTGGAATTTAAATGTGCTGTGTTATTAACACATTTGAATTTGTACTACAGTTATATGCATGAATAAATAGTCTTGACTATATTCTGTAATGTGTGCAGTGTGGACTGAGTGGACATCCGTCCGCGTCTTTGCCTGTCGCACCCAAAGCGGCCTTCTGCCGTTTGTCAGGCCGGAGTGCCCGTCTGCGGGGCAGCACGTCTAACCATGTTAATCTGCTAATTCATCCTGAGGTTTTTTTCCTCTATGGGGGATGTATTGGGAACATAAACATGCCAGGCCACTAACCCAAACAGAACTGGCAGCCAAGAAACGTTTTATGGGAAACATTTAGAGAATCGTGGGCCATCAAAGGCTGGAGCCAGGGGCCTGGTTGAGACGACTCTTTGTCTGTTATACACACGTCCTCGTCCACACACAGAGCACACTCCATCACACACACAGACTCAGGCACAGTCACACGCTCATATCACAGGCTGCCGGTTCTTAAGCGTCTTGTTTAAGGAGACTGTCAGGCAGGCTCCTTGGGCTGAAGGAGCTCCAGATGAGGCTCCTTGATGTATTACCAGCTGCTGAGGTGAAACAGAGCCCAGCTACCTTGGTTGTGGAAGGTAGGTTACCCCGTGGAAGACGTGAACCCTGCCCAGATCATAGATGGCGGGAGGAAGACTGAGGGGAGGTGTAATATCCCCGTGTTCCAGTTATGGGGCCCCGACAATAGCACGAGAGATGCTTTTAGGTCTAATTATTCTGTAGTCTATAATTGTGATTTACTGTAAAAGAGTGTGAAATGGTCTGTATGGAATGAATGAGGTGTATGTACTCAGGGTTAATGAGGGGGGTGCTTGTGGTGCATATTGGTGGGTTATTTGGGGGTGGGGGGGGGGTTGGTAGCTAGTGTACGCTGCCACAGCAGAGGGGCTAACAGTGCATCACCTCTGCAAATTTTGTTGTACAGCCGACGGCGCAGGGAGGAGCTGCTGGATGAATGATTTATGCTGCACAAAGGGTGTGTGCTTAAGGTCAGCTAGCCATGAGCGGGAAGCTGTGTTTCTGCCACTAGTGGTCATCTTGGACATGTGACAGGTCTGTGGGCTGAGGGCCACAGTGCTGGCGAGGGGGGGGGGGGCTGCCCAGAAAGCCTTGTGTGAAGTCTGAAGGCTGTGCAAGGCTGTTCTTTGTGTGGGATGAGATCCTGCTGGGAGCATTCTGGTGTTTCATTGGGGTACCGTGGGTTTAGTGGTAGTAAACAGGGCTGTGAGGATCTTGCATTTGAGTCGTCTTCTCCACCCACCTTTTGATGTGCCTGACTTGCCAGTTGCTCCCGTTTTCCAGAACCTACTTCAGTGTACAAACCAGGTGAGTTTACAGCTCAGGGTATTTCTGGCTAATGAATGTGCAGCTCCATTCTGGTTTCTAGAATGTTCTCCTGCATGGGGAATGCAATATTTTGTTTGCATGTGTCGATAGGTTTGCATGTGTTGGTCTGCATGAGTCATGCGTGGCTTAATGAGAGATGGTAACTGCCAGGAAATGCAGCAAAGGAGGAAGTAACATGGCGGTCTGGACCGCGCTGGACCGTGCTGAACCATGCTGGACCGTGCTGCCCCCCAGCACTGGTGTGAGGAGGGTGTGCATCTTTGCTCTGCTACTGTACGCAGGAGGTATTTAGGTTTATTTTCAAGGCAAGAGCTTATTAGTCAGAGTGTCCGGAGATGGCCGAGGTGCGGATGTTCTGCAAGGGCCCTCGCACTCAAGCATCATGGCTCATTCGCTCATTTTCAGAGGGTTCAGACGATGTAACCTGAGCACTGACTGCCCACAGCGCCGCTACAGCTCGGGTTCGGGGCCCGGCTGGCACGCAGGAATCATATCGGGGCAGTGGAGACAGAGGGTCGGAGGAATTGAGAGGGCGAAAGGCAAGACGGGCAGAAGAGGCTGAAGAGTGGGAGCAGGTGAGAGGAAGAGGTGAGGGGAAGACTTGGGGGAGAGTTTGGGGGGAGGGTCGGACTCCAGAGAGGAGTCTTGTCTTTCCTTAATAAGCTCCCCAGTCTCAAGGAGAAAGATAAAAGGCCACGAGAAACATTTATATTCTGAAGCGGCCGGCTGCTCCTCGCCAGCCCATGTTTTATTTAACTATCTAACTCGTCCTTCATTCCTTTTTCAGCCCCCCCGACTCTTATCGCTTCCTTAATGCCCCCATTGTCTGCCCCCCCCCACCCCCTCACCCTTCATATCATATTAAACCCTTCATCCCACGTGCTCACAGGCACTATTCCCCGTTTATTCCCGAGTTCACAAGCAGTCCGCCGGCTCTGAGACGTGACTCAGGTTACCCGCCTGCCGTTTGACATTGGCGCCTATGAATGTGGGGAGCGGAGCGACTCTCCTGGCTACGTGTCTCACCACAGCAGACGGGTCAGAGTGATTGGCACGAGCGTGTGGCCTGCCTGCTGGACAGGGACAGGTGCCTGGGGGGGGGCGCCTGCTGCGATATTCTGGCCCCTGGAGCGGCCAGAGGCAGCCTCCCTCCCCCCGGCTGTTTGTCCGGGGGGACACTGTCAACTCATATAGGCGTTTCCTTGCGTCCAGCTGGAATCATCTCCGCACCAATGGCCTCCACCAGCCACAACCTTGTGGCCTGGCACTGCTGCTTCTCGGTTTCCATGACGACATGGAGCTCAGGCCTGATTTGAATCCACAACGTTGTTGCAGCCAGAGGTTCCCGCCGATTGTTCCTGTCTATCTTCGTGTCAGGCTGTGACGGCCTCGGCCCCCGATTCTCTGCTGCTCTTGCTTCTTGTGGTTCAGATTTCAGTACGGAAGCTGATTTCAGCCAAAACCGTCCGACCCATTGTGCTAGTTTGCACTCTCCCCTTCCTGCTGCGTCGCGTAGGTCTACACCCTACAGCCACTAATGACGTTTGTGGTTTTCCACAGACATGCTCTCATTGTCCTGTATCTCTCTTTTATAGCTATTTAATCTATTAGGCCTGCCTTGCACAACCAATGCTGCCTGGAGCTGAGTGTGGGTTCTGCCTGCACCTTCCATGACCAGTTAGAATCAGCGTGATGTGCACGATGCTGCATTGCCTCTACGCTGCATGCATCTTTTCCACTTAATGAGATACTTCATTGATCCCAGGGGAGGAGTTGAGGACCATAAAGTGCAAAGAGAGAAACACACAAAGACAGCTTGCATAGTAACACAAGGGAGCAGCACAGTGGGGAACACCACCGCGTCGCACATCTGGGAGCTGCCTCCATGGCTGCATGTGTGGAGTTTGCATGTTCTCCCCGTGTTGGGTTTGCATGTTCTCCCCGTGTCGTCATGGAGTTTCTTCCGCGTACCCTGGTTTCCTCCCACAGTCCAAAAACATGCAGAGGTTAATTGCAGTTACCAAATTGCCTGTAGATGTGTGAGTGAACGGTGTGTGAGTGTGCCCCATGATGGGTTCACCCCCCCATCCCTGTTCCCTGCCTTGCACCCATAAGCTCTGGACCCCCCCTGACCCTGGATAGGATAAGTGGTTACAGAAAATGGATGGATGTAAACATAAATAAGCGTACAGTGCAATTCACATGGTAAAACTCTGGTGCTATCTGCTCTGAAGATGAAATGCTGCACTGACATGTGCTTGTGTGATGTTCCCCACAACTGACCTGGGTTTATGGTATTTAAACTGACATGCGGCATTGATAGTCTCGCTTTAATTGGTGTTAATAACCTGCTTTTTTATTCATTAAGCAGTCTCTGAAATTACAAAACAACAGCCACAGCGAGGTTAGGCGACCCTGACATTTTCACCCGTTATTGCTTCTGGTTTTTGTTCTGCTTGACCGCAAAATTGTTTAATTAGAGTTTTTACTGGCCTCAGTTGGCGCAGCAGGTCACGTGTGCTTGATTTTATGCGGAGGGGTCTTACAGATGCTGCTGGCAGAGACAGAAATAGGAGAAGCTGTAATCTGCTAGTTGCTTTTATTAATAATCTCTTCCTTCCACCTTCCTGTCGGGCGACACGTTCTTCAGTCACGGCGGATTAAAATTCCCCGTCACCCTCCTGCCACTTCACTGCGAGCTGCATGCCGCAGCTGCGAAGTTCCGAATCTGCAGACATGGCCGGCCGGCCTCATCGGGCTCCGCGCTCGGGCCCAGGGCTCCAGGTGAGGTGCAACGGGCACCCAGAGGACAGCCGGGCGGCTCTATCAGTGAGATGACAGAGGGCCTTAATCCCTGCCTGGCTCGCAGGCCTCCTGTGGACGTAACCCAACACATTCCTGAGATGACAGGAAGGAGGGCTGGGGTGAGAGGGGGGGGTGCTGGGGGGGATACTGTAAATCTGCTGTCGCTGACAAAAGACAGACTCCACTTCCTGTGGCCTTTCTTTCTCCTTATAGTACCTGATACATGCCGTCCCTCTGCCTCCTGTGTGTATTTCCCTTTATCCAGAAATTCTGGGCCCTAGAAAGACCTCTTTGAATCGCTGCCGACCCTCTCTCCTGAGATAAAGTCTGCGAGGGGAGAGCAGGTCCCCTGACCTCCGCAGACATCCTTCTCACACTCCTCCCTTTGTTCTGCTGTGGCCTGCTCTGCGGCTGTTATGTCTGAAGGTCCCCTTTTGGCTTCCCGGTCATCACGGCAAAGCACCAAGCACGTTAAATGGGGATTAACGTGACAGCAACAAAAATACATTACTGAGTGGCTGCTTAACAAATGGCTCTCAGTTGTTGGTTTCTTTTTTCCACTGTTTTTAAATTCTCAAGATTTTCCTGATTTTGTGTCTATTATTATGATTTTTGTGTATACATATTTGGTTAAAAAGGTCAAGATTTATGCGTGTTTGCATTAGGTGTATGGATCTGGGCCAGGCTAATACAGAGGTAATCGAAATTATATTAAAATAAACAACAATGAAGTTTTTGAACATAAGCCCATTGTTGCTATAGTAATGAAAATGGACACTCCCATACAAATTAAATGCTTTATTAAAGTTTGAAGACGGCGGAAGTAAAGTTAAATAGGGACTTAACCCCAATTACCATAACATAATTTACATGTGTGTACAGTTTAGTGCGAAGCATTTCAGATGATTTGTGTCATCGGGGAGGGGGGTCCAGCTGAGGGGGAAATAAAAGACACAGCTGAGCCATGTGCAGTGCAAACAGGAACAGACTGGGATTCCTGGGAGTCTTTAAATGGCATTTCCACTGTTCAGTTTATTATATGCAACCTAATGTACTTTTGTCATCAGGACGCAGTAGGAAGGAACAGACGGACCGTTTAATGTTCAGTCAGCAGCTGAGATGAGCAGAAACCATGAAATATGTGTTACTAGATGGACTTGAACTGTACGGCGGGGGAGCACCGAAGGGGGGTGGGGGCTGCCTATGCAGCGAGGCCCGAAATGCGTGTCCCTGCTGATGCTGATAGCTTCCCCTCCTGTGTGTCTGTCTCCTCCCTGTCACCTGACACCCGTCACAGCTCGGGGCAGGAGAGACCCCACCACCACCACCACCTTCTCAAGATGTGGAGCTCCACGTATCTGGGGAGGGGAAAAAAACAGAAGACAATAAAAACAATGTACAAACAAAGTTTACAGGATGCTGACTGAGGATGTTAGAGTTGCAGTGGAGGGAATGGGGAGAAAGTCTGGATCATAAAAAACGATGGAAGCGTGGAAGAGGCTGCAGAGAGCTGGGAGTGTCTGACAAACACACAAGTCAGCCTGCATACCTCTAATTCCATGAGGAGGGATCATAAGTAATGCTATGGCAGTCATAGCGATTTAGTATGAAGCTGTATGCACTGAGCTACCAAGGGTAAGACTGTAGTCCTATGACTATTCAGGGCAAAAACCATGAACATGACCGTCCACTGTGAATAACTGTAAGGCAGACACACCCACGCCTGACCATTCCAACGTGTCTAATACATTCATTAACGTAACCTGCAGTGTGGCATGTTATATATGTTTCAATTCAAATGAATTTCTCAAAACATACTTCCAGATGTGTAGATTTCAGGTCCAGTGAGTACAAGTCCAGACCAAGATTTTGTTTCAACCAAGCAGTTGAGTATAAAGAGTCACAGTCTCAGAGTACTCAACTGGTTGGTTGGAACAGAATCTTGGTCTGGATTTGTACTCTCTGGACCTGAAATCTCCACCTCTGCATACTTCATTAGCTTCAGCAAGAGATGGTTCACTAATGCGGCCAAAATTCTAGTTGGGAAGAAGTGTCTCTTGGTAATCCATGCAGCTGAGATATTTAAATAGAATGAGCAGTTCTCTTTTAGGAGTAAATACTGTATTTTTAGAGGGTTCTGTTGGGATATGGTTATAAAATTGTTTGGTGATGATCAAACGGCACTTTTGGGACGGGTACTTCTTCACATTGATGTCTGCAGCTGCTCTTGGCTGGGATGTGTGTGTGTGTGTGTGTGTGTGTGTGTGTGTATGTGTGTGTCTGTTTTTACCAGTTGTTTTCCTTTTTTTTCCAGGTGACTCTACTTCAGTGCTTTCCAGCTCCCACAAATGCACGTGCAGCAGTCTGCAGACCACCTCTATGACTGCCTCTATGACTCACCTCACAGACACACCACCTTGAACACTTAATTTGATCTTTTCTGATCTACTAGTAAGGTTGATCTTTCTGGATTTTAAATTGGTCTCTCAAAAAATGTACCACATTTGATCTTCTGCAAATAAGATAAGATAAGATACGACAAAGATGTACTTTGTTAATCCCAAGGGGAAATTCATTGATATCAATAAAGGAATTATATTAAAAAATGTAAAATATTTTTTGCAAATTTTTCATGCTGATATTATCTTTGCATTAACTAAAACAGATTTTCAGCCTGTTTAATGCTACGAATGGAAACACTTTTGGAGGAGAGAGAAGTGAAAAGTTTTAGCTGAAGAATGTCCCCCAGAATGAAAGGGGGCCACTGCCTTCGCCCATGTGACTGATAATAATCTTATGAATCAGGGCGCGTACTATTACTCATACGCTGACAGGAAACAGAGAGAGTAATATGGTCAACAGACCCTCCCCCTCCCAGCCGCTTTCAGCCATTTTGCTGCATTGTCCTGAAGTTTGAGGCTGGATCTTGCTGCGTGACCCCCCCAGACCCCCAGACTAATAACTGCATTATGCCCTCACACCATGCAAAAGGGCCCTTTGTGGGCTAGGTTAACGCTTGGGGGGGTTGGGTTGCGGGTGAGGGCGGGGGGTTACTCGGCTGGGCCTTGTATGA